ACACACACTGTACATCACTGATGAGTGAACACACACACCCGCTTCTGGCTCCTCATGCGCCAGCGGCTTCCTTCAGGAGCACACAAAGAAAGCCAAAAACAGTCAGCCGGACTGCACAAAACGGACTGTGCTTTTTCCACGAGTGCAGGATGTAACGCAGCGTGCCGTACAGAGCTGGAGTGCTGAGGAAACTCTTTTTTTGTGATAGAACATCATGCTTTTTTAGATGCTCAGCAGACGAGAGATGAATTTCTAGCCGGGTTGAGATCAGGACGCGGCGTTTGGATGCAGGAACATGAGGGAGAGAGACAGCAGGGCACCAGCAGGTGAGTTCAAGAGAGTTCTCATTCATCCAGGTCATCACTGTATGAAACTGAAGCCTGATGTTTCTATTGATTTCTTTTGTTTGGAGATGCTTCGCTCGTACCTGCTGCTGAGGGAAAGGGCACTTGCTGTGCTGAACTCTTTGTTTTGCGCTGTTGGTGGCACATCAAGTATTCATGCATTTTTGTTGTTGTTGTTGTTGTTGTTGTTGATGTTTTCAGAGTCATAATATCGCCAAAGAGTACAGAAAGAGACAAAAAATAAGGTGAAAAAGAAATGAAGGAGAGAGAAAGAGAGTAGTAAAAATGGTTAAATATTTAAATTAATTCATAAAAAATAATACAAATTGAATAGAATGTAATGAGAATGAATTGAAAAATGTGAATTATTTTAAAGCTAATTTTTATTATGTAATGCTGATGCATTTAGCGTTTGCATACATGGTGTTCGAATTTAAACATGAGTTTGCATGTGTGATCTGTTAGGGAGGTCAGGTCAAAGGTCACCTTCAGGTGTTGACATTCATATTTATTCATGTGGCAAATGATTTTATGGCTCATTCCCAGGGGATCAAACCTATGACCTTATAGTGTTGCTATAGCATCATTCTATTCAGAACTGAATTTAAAATGCCGTTTAAATTGCAATTAAATTCCTACATTTAAATTTGATATATATATATATATTTTTTTTACATTTTTTATTTAATTTGAGTTGGAATTCAAATAGAATGAAATGCAAAGAAACTGCTATATGCGTAGTTTTAAATTATAAACTACACTTATTTAATGCCACCTATAGAAAATTGTATTTAATTTGCAATAATTTGAAATATTTCCTTGTATTAGTATAAATATTATTGTATACATTTTGTGTTTTTCCACTACAATGAAAATTAATTTATGTATAATAATAAATTATATAATAACTATTATATTTAAATAATAAATTAATTATATTTTTAGTGTATATATACTAAAGATATTTTATTATATTAATTATTAATACACTTCAATTATATATATATATATATA